CACACACACACACACACACACACACACACACACACACACACACACACACACACACACACACACACACACACACACACACAAAAAGAGCCTGATTTTTCCTTCTTTTTGCATCTCTACCCAAGAGGGATACTTCTTCTTTTATAGATACTTATAAATTTCTACTAATATAGTTTATATTGATAGAAATTCCAGTTTCAAAACTTACAAGAGGTTACATAGTGGCAGTGATATGACCCCTAACAAAGACAGACAAACAGGTCTTCAGTTAGTAAGTGTTCATTTCTCCTAATTTATCTCCAATTCAGCACATTTGTTTGCTTTGCAGATGAGATGACACGTAGGGACCGCACCCTCGCATTTCTGCAGCAAAGGAGGACTTGACATGAGGACAAAATCAGTGGCCTCCCCACAGAGAGGATGATTATTCCCTGTGTCCCCGTGCGTTGCATGTATAATCCAACTGTACAAACAGTTGAGGGGCCCCTCGTCCCGCTTGCGGACAGCGCTGCCAGCCCACGAGATCTGCATATTGGCCCACGGTGCTGGGGAAGCTGTCGGAGGCGAGGCGATGCCACTGAGCGCATGTTTGTGTGCACGGAGCTGGTGAAGATGTTTTCCACGCGAGAGGAGATAGACGGCAAGAGGGAGCCCCGTGCGAGCCGGCGAGGGGGAGACAGAAGGAGGGCCGTTCTGGCTTCCTTCAAGCAACTCCAAATAGATTTCCAGGCAAAACATATCTGCATACGCAAGACAGTGCTACGAGCTATCCGAGTGAGCTGTGGCATGTGTGCACTGAACAGATGGGTAATTTTTTTAGAGCTTTCTTGCAGAAATTTCAGCCCATTAAATTGAGGATCTTGGGCATTATTCAGCCTGCTTTTTTCTCTCTTCCTTTTCATAAGGCGCAGAAAGAATTATCCCGCTTTGTTTGACAGATTTAGTGCATGACGTATGAATCAAAAATATGACATGAAATCTACAGATTCTCAACATAAGCTTGGGAATTCATTCACTGACAAAAGCATATGACATATATGAAAGTCTAGCAGAGGGCGGAGAAAACTGTCACTTCTGCAAAGACGTCTGTCACTACAAACTTTACAAAACTGAAAAAAAAGCTTGGGGGAAAAAAGTGCACTTGGCCACAATAAACCAAATAAGCATGTGCACAGCCGGGTTTTTATACAATCGTATGATTTTCAAATCTATGACCAAAATCCTGATGTGGGTGCTGAAGATGTGACCTGGTTGTCAGGTCGCTCTTTCTTTCTCTCTCCCTCTCTCTCTTAGAGGTTGTGATCTGCCAGAATGGGCGTTAAGTCCTCACCCTCTGGGCTGTATGAAAAATTCACCAGGCCTTCCCATTAGAGTCAGTCTGAATCAGGGAGCAGGCGTTACAGCGGCCACTCGCATGACACTTTTATCACTCGGCATTTAGCGACGCAGATGTTACGTTTATAAAAACACAAAACCACAGCAGAGGTCGTTTCTTCAGTTGAGCCGAGCGTCTTCTGTGTGATCAGCGGTGGAGTGATGCGTTAGAGTCCCGGTGCAGGATTTTCACACTGATGGTGCGAGACCTGACCTTTTCCAGGAGTGAGTGTGTGAGAGCAGTTGGCTGTGTCCGCTGTGATACCTCCAGGCGGGACACCTAACACCGTACCGTCTACCTCTGAGTGCAGCTCGTGTCCTATGTCGCTGTGTTTAAGGTGGAGGTGGGGGTGAATAGGGGTGGGGGCGTACCTGACAATAGCCCTTTAATATATATAATATATAATATGTTCCGGCACTGTTTCAGAGGGGTCGGTCCCCTGCAAAGGCCATAAGTATCAGTGTCACTGTGTTACATTTAGGGGTAAACCTTTTAGAATTAAAGGGAAATTGCACTAAATTTAAATGTAAAGTCTGTTTTACACACTAATGGGGACTAGAGTATGTGATATGTTCTGGAGGGTTTTTTTAAGTCTTTCTTCTATAAACAAAAATTAACTGTCAAATGCAGAAAAAGACGAACATTCATGCTCATTATAGTTTCAATAAATACCGAGTTTTGATCTGAAAGAGGCTCAGATCAGCTGCTCCTCTGGGCTCAGCTTACCTTTGTGTTATCTGTATTATGTGACGCATTTGGGAATCTTTGGAGGGTCACTCATAGCCACAGCTTATGTATTTGAACATAAGCCGGTTGTTAAATATGCTTTTATTAGAAGCCAATTCAGTGAAGTCCCCCTTAAATTTTGTCCTTTTAAAAAAACAAAAAAACAACAACCCTTAAACTATTTATTGGATTTATTGCAAAAATAGCCAAATATTCACTGATTTCAGTTTCTGAAATGTGAGAATTTGTCTACCTGTATTAAATTCATAAAAGAGCAGCACAGTTATCAGTCATATGACAGGGATGTTACTGTTCTCAATGCCACTAAATAGCCCACTTTATCAATATATTTAACAAAACAAGCAATATTCGGCCAGACATTTAAAGCATTCCTCTGAATCCGTCCACCACAACATATTTAACTGTTCCTGTCTGCTCCACCCCAAAGGAAAGCAGCATCAGAGGAGGAGAGGAGGTCGAGAGGAGCGCGAGAGGCTCTGCGGTTGAATGCGTTGCGGCTTTTAGCTGTGAATTCCCCTCCGTCGCCTCTGGGCTGGCCTCTGCTGTGAACATATGAGCCATGCCACAGCGTGTGGTGCTGGGAGATGGTCCAGAGCCTCCTGATTAAATGTTACAGCCGTCTAAATGGATGGAGATTAGCCTCTGTGGGAATGTTAGGGCTTAATTTACCCCCGGGCCAGTTGTGTGTGTGCCTTTGTAGATGTAAAAGGCAGAGAGGATACGGGCTGTTGTTCGTGTGCCCCAGTGTAACGTGTCGGTAGGTCACTGGAGGATGTTCTGTGGTTTCACAGTGAGCAGCTTAACAGGATAAACAAGTTTAATCAACTTTAAGGTTTTATGTAATTTGCAGTTCTGCTTTTTAAGCTATGAAAATATATATTTTTTCCTCCCTTCTAGTCATGAGAGAAGCGTACCACCACACAGGATCTGGTTAAATGGGACAGTTCTCATATAGTGTTATACTCATCCACTTAAAGTGCCACATACAGCACGTCTCATTCACACAAGCACTTTTTTCTACAGCCAAGCCCTTGAAGAAATTTGGGGCTCAGTATCTTCCCTGAGACTTGAGCAGCCAGGGACCAAACCACCAAACTATTAGTAGACAACGTGCTCGACAACTTCCTGAGCCACAACCACACATCTGCCAAAGGCAGAAATTATTGTTTTTTTTAAATTAATTAAAAAATAAATAGATAAATGTTGTCTCATGAGGCTGAGGCTGCACAACTATGAAACAAGATAATAAACCTGGGCAAAAAACATACATTAAGAAAAATATTATGTTTGTTACTCTAATTTGTTTAGCTGATGTAATTTGAATAAGATTCCAATAGCTTTATGTCCGAAATGTATGAAACTTGGTGAGAAACACACATAGATGAAAGAAAGAAAAAAACCATCATATGTTTGTCTGATTCTTTCTGGTTTTCACAACAAATGCAGCCGATACTAAAGATATGACACCCCTAATCTGGCCTTAGAGGGCCTTTTATGACGAGTCTTCTACCCTGCATGTTTTTACTTATTTATTCCATGTACTGACGCATTTTACAGCCTGGCTTCACATTAGGACATGTAGTGTAAAAAACACGCTTTCAGTTATACGATAGTCCATTTCTAACAGGATAGCCAACACGGGCTCAGGGTTTTGGCAGTCGTGTCCTCCCTCCACAGAAGAGTTCACACCCCGGCATCCACAGTCACTCTGTTTGAGTGCAGATATCAGTCAGAGCAATTTATTCACACGTATGGAATAAATTACTGTCATCTTAATTGCGGTCTGTTCTCTGTGATCTGTTATGCCATCTCAACATTCGCTGTGAATTATTGATCACTTGGTTTTGTAGTTCACCGTGTTCAAAGTGCTTTTAAGGATGTGAGTACATGTTTTGAGGTCTTTGCATGTAAACCCGGAATTGTATTATTTATAAACGCGCATGTATGCTTTATGGAAAAAGCCGTCAGCCCGGTCTTGTCGCCTTTATTGTGCGTGCTCTCACAAACACTGTCAGATAAACATATGTTCTTCCCAGTTTTCTTCTGCAGAAGTGTGCATCAGAT